CAAGGGTACACCTATCTGTGGAAAACTGGGCTGAATAGTTTGTTGACGGGAAAAAGTCAACAATTAGCAGGTACAAGGAAAGAGATCGGTTCACGGTGACTTTGCTAATTAAAGATTGAAGTTTGAGCTCTGGATAGGACAGAATTAGTCCATAAGTCTGTAGATCATGGGTTAAAACAGGTGCCAATTTTTATTAGTCAGAAAAAAGTTTTCAATTAGGTCAATGTGAGTTTGCATGTGGGTCACTCAAAGGTCAAACAAATGTCGTTTCCTATTGGTTAGAAAAAAGTTTTCAATTAGGTTGATTGATGTGGCTCTGCACCTAGGTCACTCAAAGGTCTTAGCTACTCAGCAGCTTCAGCTGGTCAAACCCTGAAACGTCATCACTGGTTGTCAGCTTCCGCTGGTTAAAAGCAGTTGCGTGGGAACGGCACAACCAGTTTGAGATGGGCTCCGATTGGAAGAATTTCCTTTTACGTTGTGAGTATCAAATTGCTGTGGTATTTTTATCCCACTGGATAAGTTTACAAAAGTGCTATAATAGTTTTATTTTAAATTTTTCTAGAAATAATGAACTTTGCATCTAATTAAATGTGGGATGAACATTTTAGATATTAAATATACAATGTGTAAAAGTATATACATTTTTCAAAAATGAAAGGGAGTATTTGAGCAAAAATGAAGTTGTCTGTGTTAAGACAGGTATTAATTTAGTCTTATCATTCCCTTGGGTTTGCCTTTCGTAATACTTGGTGAGCTTTGAATATGCAGGTGGATCTAGAGAGGTTTATTTTGTTGGTGATGGTTAAAGTTTTGGAGGCAAGAGCAGTATCAACTCTTGGATTGGATCAAATCAAACAGGGAGTCAGGCTACAGTCAGGAAATTCCCTCACCCAAACCTCAGTTAAATACGTAAGCAATAAAAGAGTTTGTTTCAAGTAAAGCGCTATTACCTGGTTTCAGTCAAGGCTGTAAAACTGAGTGCTACTTGGTATATGCCCTAGATTGCACAAGAGAAAGAGGCAACGGAGCCAAAACAGCCCTTAAAAACCAGAGTCAGCTGAAATTCAGTTAGGGCATCTGTCAGTACCATAATATCAGATTTGGGCCAGAATTTAAAAGTGGGTAATTAGGAATCTGGCTCTTTTCGCTGTGCTGAGATCCCAGCCCAAACCTCCCCATTGCAGGTGGTCTGTAGGAACTCGGTGCCTGCAGGCTCCAGTGTGGATCTATTTATGTCTTTATGTTAGATAGTAACCGTGAAGCCATGGCCACTGTGACTGCCAGACTAGAGAATCCAAAACAAAGCATAGAGCTGGTTAGACCAGGCTCATTTCCAAGGGACCCATCACAGTTCTGCATAAGCACAGCGCCCAGTGCCCCAGTTGTGGCTGGCCTTGTTGTTTGTTTCTAGTTTCAGCCTGGCTGTCAGGGCTACGCTGAACTGTATCTATTTCTCCTTGAAGTCAGAAGGCCGATAATCGATAGAGGGATGGGCTAATGCTCTCACTCTGGACCACTGAATAGAGTATTGCTAACTAATCACACGTGGCACACTAGAGGACTTTGTCAGCAAGGGGTTGGAAGAGGTTCCAGCAATAAATGGACTCCTTCACTTATGTGTACTGTGTTATAAAGAACTTTTCGAATGCATTGCCTCATTTGATGCTTATAACTACTCAGAGGCGTTGGAGAGGTTTGTATTTTTATTACGATTCCCAGGTGAAGGGAGAAAGTGGAAAGGATTAAGTGGTTTGCCTAGCATGTTTGCTGTGTTTAGAGCGGTTGGAAGAGAGCAGAGTGAGGGGGCATATTTTCAGGTGGTTTGGGTTAGGTTTTTAAAGTCTGGATAGCATGAAGTTTGTAGTTGGGTTACAGTGTGGTAGCACTGACGTTCTTGTTCAATTAGAAAATATTCGTGCCATGTCTGTGATGTTCAAAGAACTATGCTAAGCTGTAGAGATCTATTAAGAAATATTATAAGGACTTCTCACAAAGAGCTTGTAATTCCATTGGCGAGAGAACACATGTGCACGTAAAATAACCAGCAATTTAGAACAGCTGTTCATTGTTGCCAAGGGGAGATACAGGTGGTGAGGCCTGTAGGGTTAGGAGGAGAGGTTACAGTGAATTGAGGGGATCTTGGAAATTTTCTTTTTAGATTTTGTAGTGGAAGTAAAATTCAGATGCTGTATATGAAATAGTGGTAGGCACTCTAAATGGTGGGTTGGGAATTTAAAAAAACAGCAAAAAATGGTAAAATGGGCAAAAAATGGAAACATAAAAGAATAAAGCATGTTGTAGAATATAATTAATCCCATCTCACTATAGACAGGAATTTATAATGGCTGAGAGTGGGAGATTGATGTAGAAAAATTGGCTGAGAAGATTATGGACGGCGCTGAATGTCAGTATGAATAGTTCTGTAATCTCGGGGTAAGAAGTAGTCATTTGAGTATTTAAGATTGAGGCTGATACTAAAAACAACAACAACAACAGCATTTTCCCTGGTGTCATAGCCCAGGATAGAATGAAGAACACAGGGGGAAACAGACTATCGATGGAGAGACAAGTTAGCAGATGGAGCAGACATCCACATGTGACGTGACCACTCAGCGGGGCTTGATGCCTGCTGGACGTGGGGTCCAGGGTGGGAGAATCCCACCACACAGCCAGGGCTGTCTGCAGGAGTCCCTGCTCAGGCCCTGCACCAGCTTCAGCGTGCTTGCTCTTGCCTGCTGGCTTGCTTCTGTACACAGCGGAAAGAGCTCTATAGCTATAGCTCTGAAGAGAAGTTTTATTCATCTCTTTTTTTTTGCTCAGTCCATCAAGAGTGGCTTGAGCAAAGAGGAAGAACTTTTCAAGTGACTCTGATGTGAAATCATTCCTGCCTATTTAGTGCCATTTCGTTTCACATTGAATAGTTTGTGCCTCATCTTTGAAGGGACCTCTCTACCTAACCCTGTGGTCCACTGGACTCGGTGTCCTCCCTGGAAGCTATTTCTGTCAGGCAGCGATAACTGATGCCAGGGGCTGTGCAGGTGGTGGCTGGCTGCCACAGCAGTAAACCTGTGGACACCAACCTGTCCTAATAATTCAGTCCCTGTGTGTTTTACAAAAGTGCATCCTTTCCTGGGAGTATGATATTCTCCTTGACAGAGGAGGTATAGCAAGACTCATTGTTTGTGGGGAGATGAGTATGTTTGGTGTCCTTAAGACGCCCCAGTTTCAGTATTCACTAGGAGGACGCTGTATATTACTCACAGCTGTGATTTATTATAACAAAAGGCTACGAAGCAAAGTCAACAAAGGAAAGGCCCGTGGGGTAGAGTCTGGGGGAAACCAAGTGGAAGCTCCAAAAGTCTTCTAACGGTTACAGAGGGTGTGCTTAGTTCTTCCAACATGAGTTGTGACAACACGTGTGAAATATTGTCTCCTAGTTTCATCAGAAGCTCGGTGAGTAGGTTTTATTGGGGGCTGGTGACATAAGCACATAACCTGCTTAGCACATACCCAACCTCCAGACTCCCAGAAGGAAAGCAGGTGTTCAGCATACATCAGGCTGTTTGTACAAACAGTTCAGGCGCAGTCAGTCACCCTTAACTGTTCTGGGAACCTTGGAACCCCTCCTGAAGCTCAAGTTCCCTAATGCCAGCCAAGGAGCAACGTTCCAAGCAGGCCTTTGTAAGGAGAGCAGACTCATGCTTGTTCTGTGAACTCCTCTTCCCTGAGCGATTCTATTATTACTTAAGCTGTTGAGAAAGGGATATTGATGGAGAAACTTTTCAGAATCCAGGAGAGTCCGGTGTTAAGGAAGAGGTCCTGTTTCTAGAAGTGAGAGTTGAGGCTGGGGAGAAAAGAGAAGGATTCAAGGAGGAATTGCAGAGCAACAGAGGATTGACCCTGGTTCCGGTCTTATGTCCACATGCAGGAGATTGGAGAGGGACAAGGAGACCTGGAATGTGTTTTAGGAAACCCAAGAGAGGCGAGAGGACCCAAAAGGAGGAAATTCTCATTAGTATATAAAATGCTGCAGATAGGTGGGAATTACGGGGACTGCAAAAATGCCATTGGGACTTCTTTTAATAATGTGTAAATTGAGTTTTTGGGTTTTTTTAACTTAAAGTTATCTGTATACGTTAAGCAAGACTTAGTCAGCCAATGCCTTAAAAACTTTCCTGCCCGTTACACCTTTCCGTTTTCTTTGGATTACTTTACAAAAGCCTTGTTTGGGGATTTTTTTTGGTCACTGATCTGCATTATTTTGTTTGGCTTAGATTTCACAGGGAGATAGAAACGGATGAGCTTTGGGAAAGCTAAAAAAAACTCCTTGAGCGTTACTGTGTACTTCTCTCTGGCAGGGACAGAAGCAGCCAAAAAGCATGTCTTCCTTTCTGGATGGAAAAGTAATTCTGTTTGTTCATTAAGAGGATTGTGTTTGCTATTCCATTCATCTCATTGCTGCTTGCTGGCGAAAACCGGACATTGAAAGCTGCTTGTTTTGAGTCCAACATCCCCGGGGGATGATGAAAGAGTTTGCATTTCCTCCTCTACCCTGGGACATCTCCCAGACTCGCACTTCTAGGTCGCCTGCCTCTCTCATGCTTCACTTCTCTTTGTGGGTTCTCCGTGTTCAGGTTGTATAGAACCTCTGAGATGGGTGACTGTTATGAAGAGTCATGTGAACCAAAAGCGGCTCTTTCTTTTACTTACTATAAAAATGTATCAGAACCTCATTTACTTGGGAGAAAAAGAACAACGTTTTGTGTCTGACTTTGAGTAGTGTTAAGGAAATGCTGGTGCCTCCTCTGTCACACTCCAGGGGATTCGGGGATAGGAAGCTCTTGTGTGGTAGAAGTTGGAGATGCCGCAGTGCCGAGTGTGGCATTTGCCATCCCAGTTACCTTAAGCCTGGCCTTACTTCGTTGGACTTCAGGAGGGCGGATGCATACTGTGTTTGAAGTGGTTTTAATTCTCTGTTTCTTATTCTGACATCCCAGGGCTTCCAGCAAAAATTCTCCTTCCACAGTAAAGAGATTGTGGCTATCAGCTGTTCCTGGTGCAAGCAGGCGGTAAGTTTGGGGATAAAATAAAGTGGGCTCGTGTTTTATCAAAATCGACTTACGTCGTTGCTGGAGTTCCTGTCTGTAAGTGGAACGTTATCCTAATTTATGTATTATTTCTCTCATAGGATCTGTGGAGGAAGAAAGATCAAAACTATAGAACTATAGCATAAATGAGCTGGAAGAAACTATAAATTAACCCCTTTATACATTGAAGCCTGGGATCACAGATTGGAAAATCCTCTCCTGGTTCTATCCCTGGGTTTAGAATCGAGGGCTTTTCACCCTTACGCCACATTTTCCCCACTACCTTAGATTGTCGATGACTCCTATAGTGGGAGATTGCAACCTTAGATAATCCCTCTGACACAGAAATTCAGGCATCTTGGTTCTTCTGTTTTGGATGTGGGCAACTTTTTTTTTATAATGGGGCTATGTTAGGATAAGAGTGGTCTTGTATCCTTCTTTAGGTTTCGATGTTGTTATAGTTGGCTGTATGCTCATTGAAATGTAAGTCTTTCTTATATTTGAACGTATATACTGATCAGGATCCAATGGTAATTTCCCTACTTACTTTTCTCTTATCTATCTTTTGTTCATTTTTTAACAGCTCTGTCCCAACTAGATGGTTCATTTTTTTGTTTGCCTATGGACCTGTTTTTTTCTTTAACTAGACAATGTATACTCTAACTCGTAAGTTGGCAAACTATGGCCTGTAGACCAGATCTGACTGCTGCCTGTTTCTATAAATAAGGTTTTATTGGAACACAGCCATGCCCATCCTTTATGTGTTATCTCTGGCTACTTTCATGCTACAGCAGCAGAGCTGAGTAGTTGGAGCAGAAACAGTATGACCCTGTAAGACTAAAATATTTACTGTCCAGTCATTTTATAGAAAAAGTCTGGACCCCTGCTCTAATCTCTCAATTCACCTGTTTTTTGGGGGGTTTTTTTTTTGTTTTTTTGAATGACTGTATAATTGCGATACATTGTCCCCTCACTGCACAGCCAACCTGAAAAGAAAGGGCTGTGCTGTTTTAGCGAGGGTAAGGGTTGGAAGGAAAACATCAGGACTCGACACACAACAGCTTTACCTGCCAAACAGAGCCATAGGGCAGGAGCAGAAGATGCATTTAGTTGAAACACATGAAACTGACATTTTTGTGGGTCAAAAACTTTTGAATTTTGGCAGTTCCATCAGGTTCAACCTAATAATCTCTCTGGCATAATTTCCCTAGGCCCGCACCTGTCAGGAGGATCTGCTGTCACTAGGTAGGGACGCTTTGGTCTGGAAAGCTCAGTGCTTTCTGTGTGTCACCCTCCTGGCATATTTTTATTCTTGGCATTTCCATCTCCTTTCGGTTAATTGTTACACGAATAATCTTCGTGCTTCTGTTCAAGAACATGTTCACAAACATAAGGCCATCCTAGTCCTTGAATGAGACTATGCCATCAAAGCAATATCTCCACCTGGACAGGAAGAAGCAGATTTAGAGCCCAGGGGTCCCCAACTCTGTGCTGTTGGTTTCCCTGATCTGGTGAGATGTTACTTGCCAAATGGCATCAAGCTGGCCTCAGATAGGATGTGCCCGCTCGTGCCCCCGTAGCTGCCAGGCTGTGGTTAGGTGGTTGATCCAGGGTTATTTAATTTGGGAACTCAGTCCCACTTGACAGTGAACACATGTGCTCTCTTTTTATTAATCTGTAGTCCAGTTGAATCACTAAAAAACAACTTTCGCTTGACCCCTGTGGCAGAGTTTTGGTTAGTTCAAGTACTGATAGCTCTGAGTTTCCCAGGTTTACAACGTGATTTTTCAAGGAGTGAAAACACAGAACATTTTAAGACAGATTACAGTGGTGGTGTATTTTAACACTGCAGGTAATTCCTTCTAGGATATCTGATGTCAAACAATTAAGTGCCTTCTATGGGCGCTTCCTGCAGCAGAAAATAAAACTGGGTTTGGGAGCTGGATTTCATGGATTCAGGTCCTGACTCTACCACTTAGAAGTCCTGCAGTTTTGGACATACCTCTTAGTCTCTCTGGATTAGAGATTACTCGGGTATAAATTGAGAGAGTTGGAGTAGGCAGTCTCTGAGATCCCTACCATTTTAGAAACGCAATGGCCATTCATTTGGGGGTTTATTTGAATTGCTAAAAGAAAATCACTTTCTAAAGAAGGAATTCAAATGACATTTCTCTGGTATAGCAAATTGTTTGCAGATCACAAGTAACTGGTGGTAGGGGGAATTATTTATTATCTTATTAATTAGTATTTCACGCTTAATTAATTTAGTAATTTGCCATGGATAATGTCAGATCTTGAAGATATTCAGCGATAAAGACAATTTCCTTGATGTGACATAATTGGGGTGGCTATATTTGCCAGTTTTCCTGTAACAGCCCTAATTTATGTCTGCTGTTCCAGCATAATTATTACCAGCGCTCCCTTTCATTCTTAAAATTGTTTCAGTTAAGATGACAAATTATGTGGTCATAGTTAAGTATAATCCAAGTAGAAGCTAATGTTAATTTAATGGGGATTTTATGTTCATTAGAAAACAAATGTTACCACTCATTATCACTTTACAGTCACCAAAAAAGATGATTGAAAATGTGATTGGCCTGGGCTTCCCTGGTGGCGCAGTGGTTGAGAATCTGCCTGCTAATGCAGGGGACATGGGTTCGAGCCCTGGTCTGGGAGGATCCCACATGCCGCGGAGCGACTGGGCCCATGAGCCGCAACTACTGAGCCTGCGCGTCTGGAGCCTGTGCTCCGCAACAAGAGAGGCCACGATAGTGAGAGGCCCGCGCACCGCGATGAAGAGTGGCCCCCGCTTGCCACAACTAGAGAAAGCCCTCGCACAGAAACGAAGACCCAACGCAGCGAAAACAAATAAATTAATAAAGATAAACTCCTACCCTCAACATCTAAAAAAAAAAAAACGTGATTGGCCTAAGGTTACTCAGTCCATTGGGGTATAAACTTAAGCCCCTAGAACTGCGGTATCGTTATGATCATTAGTCTGCTTTTACTTCCGTTCAAAAACCAAAAGCACTTTAGACTTGCCAAGTATGACAGGACCACTATTTTTTCAGTGGTCCTAGACAAACCTAGCAGAAGCAGTCTTTTTGTTCCCTCTCGGATTAACAGCTCTCTAGAAGAGACATCTTCTTTCCTGGGTCCCCTACACTGGAAGGACGACCTGGGAAGGATTTACATCTATGGATAGAAAAAGGAGAGGCAGATGGTCGGCATTGCCTTTCTGCTTGCCTTCGTTTCCTTCTGGACATCGTCCCAGATCAACCAAGTCTGTCACCAGCGCCAGCCAAGTGAAACAAAATCATGTGCAAAGTTAGCCTTCGTAGACCCCTCCAAGTCTCTAACATCTTTATGTAAATATCCTATTAAAAGCTTATCAAATTTTAGCCGGCTTGTCCTGTAAGATGGATTTCTTGTTATCAATCGTTATCAGTTTGTAAAGTGGAATGAATTTGAAATCTGGTCTCTAAGTTCTTGGGGCTGGTTGGGCAGTGACAAGAGCATGTGACCTCAGAGAGAGAGAGAGAGAGTGTGTGTGTGTGTGTGTATGTGTGTGTATACATGCACTTATTCCTTCTTGTGGCAGCATCGTCCTTTGCACAGAATTGTTTACTGGCCTGTTTTTCCCTTTAGTTTCACAATAAGGTGACCTGCTTCATGCTGCACCAGATTGAGGAACCCTGCTCCCTGGGGGCTCACGCTGCTGTTATTGTCCCGCCCACCTGGATCATTAAGGTGAAGAAACCTCAGGTAACTGCCGGAACCCTGGTGCTGCTGGGCCAGCACAGAGAAAAAGTAACTGCTGCTTCTTGCTTTTCTCCCCCTGACGAATCTCTGGGTTCTTACAATCTCTGCTCACTCATCCCCAAGGTCCTCTGCTTCCCAGCTCATCCCATTAGCCCATCACAGTTCTGCGTTGGGCTCTCTCATGGAACCAGCCTCCACCTCCTAAAGAAATCAAAGTTCCACAGCAGGAGTGTTTCCTCCCCACTCAGGTGCTAATGTTCTCTTTGATGGGTGCTCTCCTGAGTTCATTAAGGACCCGTAGTGGGTACAGCTGATTCTCACACAACTCTCTTCTCTTCCAGCCTGGGCAACCCCAGGGAGTGGCTGTGAGGGCGCTCTGTGCCATTGTTTGGTTGCTATTACCACCACTTCCAACCCGAATGCAGACTGTGGGTCATGACCTTCCCCAGTACACAAGGCCTGCTTAGAGAGCAACACTCTTTTCTTAAGGCAAAGTAGAATTTATCGTCTTAACATCTAATCTCATTCTGTATTCCATCCTCATTGTACTTTCTGTCCTGGAGAGTCTCTGCTGCTATATTCTGGGAGACCTTGGTAGTTTTTCAACAAGGTCCTAATCTGTGATAGAAACGTTTCTACCTTTGTACTGTACATCTTAGATAGTCATCTCCAAGTTATGGGATGGCAGACTTTTAATGTTACAGGGAGAAGATTATACCTCCCCCGGGGTGCGGGTACCTTAGGGAGTCTTCTTGAATGTAGTATCTTTAAAAGATATGGCAGTCCTACTTCAGATGGTCTCCAAAATTATCATGTAGTGTGTTCTCATTGACTCAGTTTTATTTAAAAACTGGTGGATCAGGGACACTGTTTTGCTTCATGTGTTTTATATAAAAGTTTTGCCTCTAATGAGTAACATGTAGGAATCATCTTTTCAAGTTACAATCCATGGAAGCCCTTGGGAACTGTTTTCCAGAGGCGAGTACAGTATCTACACATTAAAAAATGAAACATCTAGTTATTTTTACATTTTAGAGCTGAATGTCACGAGATGCTAAGTAAGTTGTCCAAGGTGACATAGCAAGTCAATTACAGTACTATGTCTGAGATTCAGGTGTACTGATTTCCAATTTGGTGTTATTTTAAAACCTCTTTAACATTTTTACTTCTTTGTGTGTGTTTTTCCCCTAAAATTCAGTAATCTCTCCATGTGCTGTATAGTAAATATTCAGTTAAATCAACACGTTTTTCATCAAAAACCTTGATGGTATCAGGAAGGCTACTAGGCATTGTGATATAATAGACAATTCTTGCTCTGAAGAACCATATAGTTATTTTAAGGAAAGATCAGGGAGAGCTTCATGAAGCAGGTGGATTTCATTCTGCCTCCTTACAGATGGGTGGGATTGAGGTCAGTGGAGAAGGAAATGACCAACAGGAGAATGGCACAAGCAAGGATACTTTGTCCAAAATTATCTTCATGGGACCGTGAGACTAGGTTGACTGCTGTGGAAGGTTTGTGTAGGAGGTGTGTAGGGCATGAGCATAAGGTTGCTCAGGCCTGGCTGGGGGAGATTTTTGATTCATGTAAACTTTATCCTTTTAAGCAAAGGAGTGATAGAGGAAAACTGTATTTTAGAAGGAAACAACTAGCATGAGTGTGTAGGATGACCTAGTGGTATGGGATTTTGGGCCCCTGAAGATAGAACAGAAAAATCAGAAGACTACCACTCTGCAGAGAAATTCTAAGTTTACTTTTCTAAACTTTAAAAATTCTTTTGGTTGTGGAAATTTTCAAGCAAGTGAAGAGAAAGAGAAGGTCATAATGAATTCCATAGCCATGAACTTTGTTTTTTGGTGTCACAGATATTTTTAATGTTCATAAAGACATAAAACAGATTCTATACCTGAAGCACCACAGATAATACAGAAATTTGACTTGAAACACAAACTCTGCAATTATCATTTCACATCCTGAATTGTTGTTGCAATATTCAGTAACACATTAGTCGTCACTTCTTTCTAACTAGTCACTTATTTCTTTCCTATAAGGAATACTACTGACAAAACATCATACTCATTCATCTCTTCCTATAAAAGCACTTCTTTACTATGTGTCTTGTTCAACATTACATTTAAATATACAGATTTTAACTCACTGTCAGAATTCTGGAACCAAGACCTCATTTACCTGATATATTCCTGTCTGAGGTCAGGTCCTTCTTGGTCTTCATTTCAATCAATGCTTTTCTCATCCTATGTCTAAATAATAACCCTTAGTTATTGGTATGTTATATCATTAAACATCTTTTTCTATATTCATCTTTTCTGAAAAGGAACTGATCTGCAATGCCGATACTAGTAAACATTAAAATAACTAAATGAGACACTTGAGCATAAAAGCGTATAACCCTGAACTTTTCTGCTATTATTGTTTCACCTAACCCCTGCCACACCATATTTTCTTTTTTGTAATTAAATTTGTTTTGAGATTCACATGCAGTTGTAAGAAATAACACCGAAGGATCCCATGTACCCCTTACAAACTTTCCCCTCATGGTAACATCTTGCAGGATCATAGTATAACATCACAGCAAGGATCTTGACATTGATTAGTCAAGACACAGACCAATTCCATCACCGCAGGTATCCCTATGTTACCTTTTCAGAGCCACATCCATTTTTCTCCTGGTCCCACCCCATTTACTCTGTCTTCCCCAAAGTGCAAGTCTTCCTTTTTTTCTTTTGCTAGAGTATTTTAAAGCAGATTTTAGCATACCACTTAATCTGTAAATGCTTCATTTTGTTTCCTGAAAAGATAACACTTTAGAAAGACAACTACATACAATTATCTCACCCATCAAAATTAAATAATTTGAGGTGGCATCCTTAAAATATTTTCTGGTTGTTTCAAATATATCTTTTTTTACAGTTATTTTTTTCAAATTAGGATCCAGAGTCTACAACTGCCTTTTTGTTGACTGATCTCTTAAATCTCTTTTAATCTATAGCAATCTCCTCTCTTATTTTTCCTGCCATTTATTTATTGAATAAATTGGGTCACTTAACCTGTAGAATATCTCATATTTTAATTTTGGCTGATTATTATTGTGTTATTAAATGATTTTATTATTGTGTTTTAAAATGATTTTCTGTATGGCCCATATTTCTTTTCGAAATATTTAGATGTAAAGACATTAGATTCAGGTTTAACTTCTTGGCAAAAGGACAATATGGGTAATGGTATCTTTTTCTATAGTGTAGCTTTTAAAGGAACATGATATCAGGTTGTTCACTCTTAGTGACGTTAAGATTGATCTGTGAATTCAGGAGCTGTCATCCTAATCCATCTGTTATAAAGTTGTCCATCAGTCTTTCATCTATAATTTTATCCATTAAAGATTGTTACCTAAATCTGTTTTCATTAGGGGTTGCTAAAGGGTGATTTTTCCAGTTTTTATTCTTCATTTTTTAGCTACAATTTTTCTATAAAGAGACCTTTCCCTTATGACCAGCAAATACATAAAAAATGCTTACTTGTTTGCCCTTAAATTTTCAGAATAATAAGTTGGTATCTTAGCAACTTTTATTAAGTGGCTGGTTGGTGGGGGTGTTTTTTGGAGAATAGTTCACAGTCTGGATGCTAAAGTCCAAAATTTTTTTCATCACGCACCTTTTTATTACGTTCTATGATTCAGGACATCGTAATAATAAGAATGAAAGCTAACATTTATTGAATGCTTTACATGTGTTAGGAAATATTTTAAGTACTTTACCTTCAGTATCTCATCATCACAGTGCTCTATGGGGCAGGTATCCTATTAGTCCCATTTTGCAGCTAAGGAAAGTAAGGAATAGAAAAGTCAAATAAATTAGCTGGGACTATATAATTATTGAATAGTTTGAGATGGCATTTGAACCCAAGAACTGTGACTCTGGAAACCAAGGTTTTAATGATATGCCATGCTGCCTTACCGTGTTACTGTAGCCAGCCTTGCTGAATCAGTTTTAAAATTTTGGTGGTCCCTCCTCCTCCAGGCTCCAACGCCATTAAGTAATTTAATCAATTAACTAAGTTCTATGTAAAGGGTAGTGTATGATGAGCTTGGGGGCAGGGTTGCAATAGAGTAGTTCTGAAGAGCTCTGGCTTGCAAGCCAGGCTGCCTGGGTTCATAACCTTGCTCTGCCACTTACTAACTTGGTTAATCTCAACTTAATCTCTTCTGTTTCAGTTTCTCAGCTGCAAAGGTTAAATAATACTAGTACCTAACTCATAGGGCTTTCGTGAGGACTAATGAACTAAAAAAGAAAAAATAAAACACACAGGACAGCACCCGGCTCATTGTAACCACTCAGATGTTAGCTGTTGTTATTTTCCTTCTTGTTGACTTTTAGGGGTGCAGGGTATCAGGTGAAGCCACACAACAGCAGATAGCAGCAGTGGGTAGTCATACGGGGGTCAAGATAGAAGTTACTGATCCCTGAACCATCTGTATTATGGTGAAAGAGGATGTAAAGAGGATGAGATTTCCAATGGAGAGGGTAGAAGTAGACAAGGATAGGGGCCATAGCCTGGCACCTACTCTGTTTCCAAGTGCACCTTGAAATACTACTATAACTTGTATTTCACACTGTAGTGGGATCGTGTATTCACTAGCACAATGCCTATCCCATGGGAGAGAGTCAAGACCTGATCATTTACTGAATAAAAGAACAGAAGAAGACTGGGAGAACATCCATACCCAGAAAGTGGGAGGAGGAAGAGAATCCTGCGAGATAGAGAGAGAACTATGGTTGCATTAAAGTTTCATTATTAAAAATGAAAAGTAGGGCAATCATCAATGTTAAATTCTGTAGACATGAAAAAAATCACAAGGATTGAGAAAAGTCCTTGTGTTTGGGGCCAGAGCATTGATGACCATAAAAACTATAGTTTGTAGAGTGTAGAGTATGGGTGGCAACCTGTTAGCGATGGTGTGGAAGCAGTAAGATTAGAGAATTTG